ACACACACACACAACACACACACACACACACACACACACACACACACACACACACACACACACACACACACACACGTGTGCAAAACGGGAATGAATCTTACCGCAAACGCCGGAAGATTCAGTCCCTTTTAGCACTCTCTCGAACACGAGAGTCCTAAAGGGAAATAGCCTTCCGGCGTTCACAGGAAAATTCATTCCTGTTTTGTACGTGAGAGAGAGAGAGAGAGAGAGAGAGAGAGAGAGAGAGAGAGAGAGAGAGAACACACAGACTCTGTCTCTCTCTCACACACACACACACATACATATTCAAAATGGGAATGAATCTCTCCTGCGAACGTGGGAAGATCCTCCCTTTAAGCACTCTGAGCATGCGTGTGTGTGAGAGAAAGAGAGAGAATCTGCACGTTCACCGCCGAGGTCCCCACGAGCACTCTCTCTCTCTCTCCCTCTCTCTCTCTGTGCGGTGAACATGCAGACTCTCTCTCTCTCTCTCTCTCTCTCTCTCTCTCTCTCTCTCTCTCTCTCTCTCTCTCTCTCTCTCTCGTTCGAGAGTGGCATGATCCATTCCCTCTTAGCACTCGCTCACGTTCGAGAGTGCTAAACAAGAATGAATCTTCCCGCTTTCGCGAGAGAGATTCATTCCCATTTTGAACGTGTGTGTGTGTGTGAGAGAGAGAGAGAGAGAAAGACAGAGAGTCTCTCTCTCTCTCTCTCTCTCCACACCATGAGAAAAGAGAGTTCTCTCTCTCCACACCATGAGAAAAGAGAGTTTGCGGGCGCTGTTTTTCTTTTTTTTTTAAAAGAGCCCAGTGCCCAAGGCTGATATTACCAATAATAAGATTGAGGCCGGGGTCCTCGCAGTCTACCCGTAGTAACCGAACATTTCTTCGTTGTTTTTCTTTTGTATGTTTACTTTTTTTTTCGTTTTTTCTTCTTTTTTCTTTTTTTTTGTTTCTCCAAAAACTAAGTCCAGGCACTAACTTACCAGTACCTCCAGCGTCAGCATGGCTCGGCATACTTACCGGTAGGCAGCTGCTCGGATTTGACAGGTGAGCCAAGTACTGGCAGTTTAATGCGTCGCATCGGACGAAGGTCAGGGCAGTGTATAACCGGGCCCAGATAAATTAGAGAAGAGGGATAAAAAAAAGGTAAAAAATGATACTACCATGACTTCTATTATGTCCGGGGAGGTTGTAGAATTAGCCCTGCTACTACCATCTTCACCCGAACCGAACGCCCGGTCATTATCGCCGCATCTGGACTGAAAGTTGGGCCAAATGCTCCTATAATGACCGGGCATTCTATTCGTGTGAAGACGGTAGTACGGATTTTGGAGGATGGATCTAACTGTAATGCAAGTTTCATAATGTTTTCGGTTTTTTGCTGAGTGAGGACGTCGCCCGGGTAAACCGGGCGGGCAAAGAACCGCCCAAAAATATATATATATATATATATATATATATATATATATATATATATATATATTTTTGGAAAACGGGATCGTTCTGCGCTGGGGGAGAGGACCCTGAATCTGCAATAAAATTTGGGTCCCGGGGGGTGGGTGGGGGGGGTTGGTCTGGCTGGGGGGTGCTGGGGTTGGGGGGGTGTCTGGGGGTTGGGGGCCCTGCATGTATGTTGCCTACTGGGTTGGGTGCTCTGCATGTTTGCTCTGATGTCTGCTGCATGCATGCTATGAACTTATCGACCCTTTCATTCTGACCAAAAATGAAGAAGACTGACGAGAAGTAGAAGAAGAAGAAGACTGTTAAGATTGACAAGACGAAGAAGAAGACTTTTAAACTAACAACTTGCAGGGAATCTATGAGTTCTTTAGCAGCATATCAGCTGCATATGGCCAATATCGGTCCACATTCGAACACCTCTCTCTCTCTCTCTCTCTCTCTCTCTCTCCACACGCACTCACAAACACGAACACACCAGCTCAGTCAGAGGTGCCACCCTCTTCTTCGGCAAACTGCTCGCTGCAGATGCCGGATTCGGGGTCATCCTCAACAATTTGTTTGTGAGCCTTGCACCGCAGTTTTTTTTTTTCCGGCTTTGCAGCCGGACCGGCAGTCGCGTTCTTCCGAGGCCTGCCACGTGGAAGTTTTGGCTTCGGCCGTTCGTCCTCACAGGGCGCCTTCCTCTTCCTCCCAACCCTGCTGACCCACAGGTTGTCGTGTTGGGCTTCTGCGTTGCTGGCTGGGAAGTCGGGGGAATTCTCCGATGAGCCAGCAGCCTCCACAGTTTGCTTCCAACGGTTGTACACGGTCGTCGGTGCATGCTGCTGTTCATCCTCCTCGATGTTCGCCGTCTTTTCCTGCAGACGCTCCTTCTCACTCTCCTCCAGCTCCTCTTCTTGCTGTTCCGTGACCTCCCCTTGCTCCTGTTCCATCTCCTCCTCTCGTTGCTCCATGCCAGCCTCTTCTTCTCCCTCCTCTTCCTCCTCTTCTTGCTGCTCCATGCCAGCCTCTTCTTCTCTCTCCTCTTCCTCCTCTTCTTGCTGTTCCATGCCAGCCTCTTCTTCTCCCTCCTCTTGCTCCTCCATCTTTTCTTCTTCCACCCTTGGCTGGCCAATCTCCTGTTCTGCCTCCTCCTCTCGCTGGCCCATCGCCTCTTCTTTATCCTCCTCTAGCCGGCCCATATTCCCCACTGGCTCCGATTCTTGCTCTCCAACCTTCTTCTTTAGTTTCTCCAATTCTTTGCGGGTTGGTATAGCTGCGCGTCGCTTCTCCTCCTCCCTCATTTTCCTTTGCACCCGTTCTTGATCCGCATCAGCCCATGCCTTTGCATGGTCGGCCTCCTCCTCATTTGTGTTGATTGGACCGCGGCGAAGCACCATCTCCATTTCGGTGTCGGTCTGTGGTACCTCGACATCCGATTAAATGTTGTAATGCGTTGTGGCATTCGTCGTGTATTGAGATGGTGTTGTGGGCGGCCGTTCTCGACGGAGCTGTGCTGCTTCCCTCCTCCCGACATATATAATGCACAGGATTGACGGCGGGATTCCCAACTCAAAGTCATCATCCGATGACTCGTCAACTTCCCCTTCGCTAAACGCTTCCGACCATGGAGTCTTTCCCTTCCACACCTCGTCGTCAAGGTCGTTGTCGTCAGTGCACTCCTCCTCCTCGTCTACGAGGCTCTTCGGAATCCGGCCCTTCGGTGTCTTGATGAAGGCCCGTTCCCGCACCAGCTCTTCCTCTGTCTTGTCCTTCTCCTCCACCAGGTCCTTCAAAATAGAACCATCATCCGCCTCAGGCTCCGAAAGAGACTCGAAGAACTGCGCCCACAAGTCGATAAAGACACCCTTCAAGTTTTTCCCGGAGTGCAGCAGCTGCATATTCCAATGAATATACACCCAACTTCTCCAAGGTTGAGGGGTTCAACCGATTCCGCTGCTTGGAGTGGACCGAGTCCATCGAAGACCAATTCCGCTCCACCGGAGTCGCCAAGCTCCACATGCCCATTACTTTCATGGCAATGGCCTGCAGCTCCGGCACATCGCCGCCACGAGTTGCCCACTACTCCGATGGCGAGATGGTGTTAGAATCTGCGACCGCATCGCCATCCCACATTTTCTTGTCCTTCCGCCAGGGATTATGCCCGGTCAGTTTCGTGTGGAACTCTCGCAGGTCACTGAGAATCTGCACGTGGGCGTCTGATTTCCAAGCACCGCCGATCTGCCGCTGCAAATAACGCAGCGCATTCTGCACAAGTGCGCTGTCCCGGTCCAACAACCACTTCGGCTCTCTCCTCCGCGGGTCGAGAAGAAAAGCGAAGGCGTGTACCGGTTGCCGCATCATCTTCATGTCGTCCCTCACCTTCTCGAGCACCGTATGTCGCTGCTCCTCCGTCAGCACGACCTCCGTCAGCATCCTCTCCATTAGCCGGTCGTACTCCACAAGGTTTGACGGGGCAGTCCCCTCCTTGTCCATCCTCCGAAGCAATACATACAATGCTTCCATCACCTCCACCACCTTCTTCAACTCAGGCCACCAACCCTCACTCCGCAATGTGAAGAAGACAAAATCCGCTTTGGACTGCAGCTTGGTCGTCAACCACCGCATCGCCTTCCATCTCCCGACTAGGCTCCCTTCGACCATCTGCTTCAAAATCGCTCTCCAATTGTATAACCGCTCCATCATCATGTTGACCGACCCAAAACGGACCTCGATCGGTCGCAAGCGCGATAATGAGTCGTCCAACGACATCATCAGGTTATGTGTGCAATGGTTGTTCCGTATTACATTAACAATGGTGTGGCTCCGCTTCACCGTGCCCTTGATCCAATCCAACTTGCTGATATCTCTTAGCAGCAAGCTGCGGCAATGCGCAGCACACGGAACCCAAGGTATCCGTGCCACTGCCAAGTCCATGCGACACTCCAAAATCTGTGCGGCCTTCTTGTTCACCTCCGCATTGTCGGTGCAAACTGCATTGATGCGTTGCAGCCCGATCTCCCTCATTATCTTCTCCCAAAGTCTGGCCAGCGCTGGTCCGATCTTCTTCTTTCCATCCTTCGACACCGTTGCCACCAGCACCGCTCCCTGCTCCCCCGCCGCCAAGAAATTCATGACAGGTCTTGCCCTCCAATCGGTCGACCCGTCCATGATTAAAGTGCAGCCCGTGACATCCCAGCATGCAGTCAGAGGCTGCACTTCCTTTTGAATGCGCAAAAAGATGAAGTCGAGCATCACCGTCCGGATGTGCTTCGCAGAAGGCAATTTCACCTTCGATCGCGCGCTAGCCACCTCCAAATACACCTCGTGCAGTTTGAGAGTGGTGTCCAAGTTCAAAAAATAGAACGCGATTCCCGCCCGGAACATTGCCTCCGCCCATGCAATGTCCAACTTCTTTTGAGTTGCGTTGTCCACCCACCTTGTGATGGTTGTTTGCTGCACCGGAGCCGCCCTTGTGGTAGATGCAGCAACCGGCGGTTGTGGCTCATAGTAACCACGATGAACCACCGCGTCCGCATCATCGTCATTTGCTGCAGCGCCCCCCCCGCGAGATGTTTTGCAACTGTCGGTAGTTCTGCAATAGGTAGCGAGAAGAAGAAGAAGAAGAAGAAGAAGAAGATGAGGAAGAGAGGAAACGAGAAGAAGAAGAAGAAGAAGAAGATGGGGAAGAAATACGGCTGCAGTCGGGTATGGCAGCAGGGTGTGCCGGTAGGGTATGGCGCCGCTAGGGTATGGTGGTGGTAACGTATGGGAGCACTGGTATGTCGGTAGGGTATGGCGGCGGTAGGGTAAGGCGGCGACGGGGTATGGCTGTGCGTTATGGCGACGATGGTAGGGTGTGAAGAAAGGCAGGATAGGAGAGACGGGAAGGACGACCTTTTTTTTTTTTTTTTCACCTGTCATGTCTCACGTGACTGGCCGAATGTCGACGAACTGAAAGAAGAAGAAGAAGAAGAAGAAAAAGAAGAAGAAGAAGATGAAGAAGAAGAAGAAGAGGAGAAAGAAAACGAGTGGGGGACGAGGGGAAGACAAAGGGAAGACGAAGAAGACGAGAGGAGGAGAGGAGAAGAAGAAGAAGAAGAAGAAAAAGAAGAAGAAGAAGAGGAGGAGGAAGAAGAGGAAGAAGAAAAAGAACGACGCCTTCGTCGTCGGGGCCTTCGTTGTAGCAGCAGCAGCAAGGCAGTCGGGGCCTTCATCGTAGCATGAGCAGCAGGACACTCGGGCCCGTCGTCGCAGCAGCAGCAGCAGACAGTCGGCGCCTTCGTCGTAGCAGCTGCAGCAGTACTTCTCGATGGCGATGTCGATGGGCGACAGCACAGCAGGACACCGCAGGAGGAACTTCGATCGCTGGGGGGAAGCGAGTGGCAAACCACCCCAGCCGATCCCATGTTTGAAAGCGGGGATGTTTAGCGCCTAGATCAACCGGCTCTGTGGCCGTTGATCATGGCGGATCGATGGCCAGATAGCAGTCAAAAAGTTTTTCAAAATCCCGCAGGCCTACCGGGCCCGACGGGTTAGTTTTTCGGGCCAGTCAGACCCAGTAGGCCTGCACGAGGCCAAAAGCAGCGAAACGGGGGTCTGAAACCCCCGAACAGTTCATTGCGCTGGGGGGGGGCCGGCCCCCAACCGGGTGCCCTGCCTGGCCAGGCCGCCCGGTACCTCCCCCGGGCCTCCTCCCGTCAGCCGGGCGGCCCGGATCCCCACTCACTTTGTCCTCCGCCGGCTTTGGCAGGATGGTGCCATGATCTTCAGGATCTTCAAAGACTTCATTGGACAATGGATCTAAGTTCATCTAACTTTTTGGGGTTCTTTTCTTTTCTTCATAGTCCCCCTCCAGTTAGGCAGAGTGGTCCCGTGTTTTCAGGCTCTCCAGAGAATGAATCAAAATATTTTCAGGGCCAAAGCCGGTGCTGTTTTCTTTTTTGGTCTTCTTTACTTTTTGTAATCTGACAAGAAGGCGAAATGGCTGAGCGGTTCTCTTCCACGGCATGCTCACACTAGCAGTTCGGGAAATGTATCCATCTGCACTTACGTTCCCAGAGGGATCCTTTTTTGTCTTTTCCTTTTTCCTTTTCGCAAATGGTTCTTGCAGGCTCGACTTACCCTGCTACCAGTACCACCAAGCTCGGCAAGCTCGGCATACCGGTCGCATGAGGGTCAGCCTGCATATCTGGGCGAGAAATGATCTCCAGTCCTGACCTCTATCAAGTGATCAGAAGCTGGATCATTGTCTGTTGGAGTGGGGGAGCAATCCGGGCTACGTGGATGAGAAGTGGGTGGGTCAGATGCAAGAGGCCATACCTCCGCGCTTGCTCAGAGTAGCTGCCAGTTGCGCAAATGCTGCACTGGTGATTGCACCTCATGACTGGTGCACACTCAGGCCTTCATCACAAAATCATTGCCACTTGAGGGCATCAGAGTCGTATGGACTATTACTGGCTACTCTGTCTTGGGTACGATGAAGACGATCCGTATGGTTGCCAACTTGCCAGCATGGAATCAGAATAGATCTCTGACACCTGCTGAGGGTGCGATGATATTGCTGTTCAACCAGGGCTATGTAGGCAACCGGCCGGTTGGACCAGACTGGTCCCAACCGGGAAGAGGAAGAGGAAGAGTAGAAAAGGAGGAGGAAGAGGAAGAGGAAGAGTAGAAAAGGAGGAAGAGGAGGAGGGAGGAGGAGGAAGGAGGAAGAGGAGGAGGGAGGAGGAGGAGGAGGAGGAGGAGGAGGAGGAGGAGGAAGAAGGGGGAGGAAAAAGAAAGAATGCTGAGGGTGCGATGATATTGCTGTTCAACCAGGGCTGTGTAGGTCCGGTGGTCCAACCGGAAGTCCGGTTGGGCCGAGGAGGAAGAAGAGGAGGAAGAGGAAGAAGACGAAAGGGGAGGAGGAGGAGGGGAAAGAAGGGGGAGGAAAAAGGAATGCTGAGGGCGCAAGAAGAAGGGGAAGATTGCTGGAAGAAGAGGAAGAAGAACAAGGAGAAGATTGCTGGAATATTGATGGAAGAAGGAGAAAAGGAAGAAGAAAGAGAAGATTGCTGGAAGACTGCTGGAAGAAGAAGAAGAAGAAGAAAAAGAAGAAGAAGAAAAAGAAGAAGAAAAAGAAGAAGATGACATTGCTGGAAGATTGCTGGAAGATTGGTTGAAGATTGCTGGAAGAAGAAGAAGAAGAAGAAGAAGAAGAAGACAATAAACAATCAATCAATCAATCAAGCTGGCTTCTTGTTTGGGCAGATCCTCTGATTGAGAGGTCCGCTCCGATACCAAACTGTTGCATACCGTAATGGTGCAGCCCAGAACAAGAACCGACCTCTCTCACATAGTACAGGATAGCGCAGCGGAAGGCAAAAATACCAATGATCAGACCTATCAATGTCCCAATGCAGACGAAACATACATCATCATCATCGCAAGGTGTGAAGGGGCCTGGCACTACACACAGGAGGAATGCCCAGGCTCCGATCATACACAGATGAAGAGGAGGGGGAGAAGGAAAGGATCGGGACGTTGTCAACACCAAGTCTTCGATATAGATCCCAAATAATCCCCCCATCCAATTTCACTGTCCCAATGTCGAGTCGGAATCCAAATGTCATCAAATCTCGAAGTCACAAATCTCTATCTCTCTTTCTCCCTCGGAGTCTGTCAGATAGCGAGAACTCAGGTAGCGAGAGGGTGAGGGAGAGATGGACTGTAAGAGGAAGAACAAGAACTCTCTCTCTCTCTCTCTCTCTCTCTCTCTCTCTCTCTCTCTCTCTCTCTCTCTCTCTCTCTCTCTCTCTCTCTCTGTGTCCGGTAGTGACCTGTGGAAGGTGGCACCTTGTTGCAGGTACATTGAAGACGAAGCTGCAGGGATGGCGTCACAGGTAAGCTCCCAGGTAAATCTCCCTGTCCTCCGCCACTCTCCTCCTCTCCACGCTACTCTAAGGTCCTATCAGCGCCAAGCACTGAAGACTACTCCTATCGTACTCTACTACCACTGCACCGCTTGCCGAATATCCGAAGACTGCCTCCAGAACTGCCTACTGCCTCCTGGGCGGACCATCACTATATAGTGCTGGTCCGGCTGGGAGGCTGCTCTTGCCGATGCCCTGCACTTACCCTAGTGCCCAAGTTCAAAAAAAGGTTATTCTTGAAACGGGCCTAAAAATGCCCTGCGCTTATCCCTGGTCTGGCGCCTAAGTTTCAGGAAAGGTTGGGCCTAACATTGGCCCTCCTTTTTAGCAAAACGACACACGGCCTGGAGGGCCCTGACTTATCCCTTGTTCTGCCTGGTCGGGCCCTGCAGGCCCGTGTGGTGCGCAGTATGCCACAG